GCTGTCGTAACAATATGTAACAAATAACACTTTCTTCTGTAGTTTAGTGCTGCATGACTTAAATATAAGTCATAATCACTAATTATCCTGGATAACAGTGTTAATCAAAACAAGTGCTAACTATCCCACTCATTAATACTCAATCTTTGATGAAAATAGTTTTATATGTAAAATGTTATTTGTATAAGCTCATGATTTTAGTCAAGCATAATGTTATAAGAATTTTATCTATCACATGATAATTTCTCCTGCACATGAGATATATGTTGTCTTTTTAGTCAGTGGTTCTGCAGGATACTGTTGAAAATAAGAAGCTGTATTTGACACACACACACACAGTATAATTCTCCTGAAATACCATATTTTTTGTCGTTAAAGTCTTCCTACAATATAGTATTTGACATGATATAAAAAACTATTTAGTTTAGTTTAATATATTTTTGTAAGTGAATATTTTATCACTGTTTAGTTTTTGTTATAATAGGAGTTAAAAGCAGATGATTGTAAGAAATTATGTTAATAAGTCATTGATTTTGAGACTATTGAACATTGCAAGCAATACATATAATATAGAGATTTCTAGAAGACCAGATGATTAAGTGATAAAGATATAAATAGTGTCAGACAAGTAAAGTTACAGGCAAGAAAAAGGTAGGTGTGAAGTTAACTACCGTAGAATTGATAGGCCTATTGATTAACATAGACCTAAGGTTTCATATGTTAGAGTAAGACTAACAGTAGAAAAGGAGATAAAAGGAAAAATTATTCTGTCAAAGCGTGGTTCTAAGGTAATTGAATCAGCCTGAGTGCACTTTGACAAAAGGAACAGAGGATTACAGTAACTCATGCCACAACTGTAAGTGAATCATACACAAAGTACTAGTGCAATAGTAATAGAGAAGATAGTTCAGCTTGTCAACTGAAATTCTAAAGTAATTGAATAGGCCTAAGTGGACTTTTGACAAGAAGAAGAGAACTATAGATATATAGTGTTTATGATATGCCTATAATCTCTATAGGGTGAAGAATTTGTTGTACATACATTTAACTTGTTCTGAATATATATTATTTTGAAAAAAGTGAAGTGCATGCTGTTCATTTATCGTTGAATTTATCGCTAAAAAATCACTGTAGAAGAATCCTAAGTCGAACAACAAAATAGTATATATTTATACTATTAAGAAGTATAAGTAAAAGACTTTTATTTTGACACTTGGCAAAAGACTTATATTTTTAAATTCTGACATACATAAAAAGAAATATAATTTCGAAAATAGGTTTACATAAAAGTGTTATCTGGTGTAATCTGTGGTTATTCTACAATAGTACAAACATGAAAACTATCAGAAGTTTGTTTACATTTAATACTTGACAATTTAAAAGCTTTTTCAACATTATCAACAGACTCTCCAAGATTTACGTAAGTACCAGATATTTGTAAATTTCTCATAAGTTCTTCTTCCTAAGCTTGAATGCAAATGATTCTGATATCATCATCCTCACAAGCAAACTTAAACTAACTCTTCTAATAATGCAGAAAATCCATAACACCACCTAAAAACAATTAACACCTACTGTTCAAGTAATATACCAAGACTACACACCTATACATGTGTGCATACAATAGCAAGCGTTGTGTAAGGACCCCCCCCCCCCCAAAAAAAAGCTCTAATAATCACACTTTAATCAAATAATTTGTTCATGCTAATATAGTTGTGTGTTACTGAATATTTTGAGTTTGTTAAGCAATGTAGACCACAAAATTACACCCTAACCTAACTTACAACAATAACCTTCCTCAACAACATGCATAATCATGACCATTACACTGACCCCAAATAACAACAAAGGAAGTACAGGCTTCCCAGTCACATTTCATAAAAATATAGACTAAAACAAAGGTGTCTGAATGAAAGATAATTTTTTATAAGATTATCAACTGACTACATATGGGCTTAATAAGTTTTTCAGTAGTTTCAGACACAAAAACACTTTTTTCAAGCATTACCATTCAAAATACAGATGATTATTATAATACATTTATATAATTATAAATAAGTCAAGCATTTATTTTCAGATTATGTTGATTCTTTACCATTACTCCACAGTGACGACTGTCCACCTTGCATACATCATTCATTAACCAGGTCACTTATTCACCTGACATTATATTCCTTTATAATTTCAGTGGTATTCAACTTAATTATTGCAGTATGATTCCAAGATACTAGTACACCTTCATTATCCAAATTACAGTAACTAACAATATACTATTAAAGTACAATCACAGTAACAGGTAACTGTAGTCCAGTCATTGAAAATTCTGTTCATACACAATGTTACCTCTCTTACAAAACTTAAACAGCAATCATACCTAAAAGAATAATTCAAATCTGAGTTTACTGTAAAACAAAAAATAATTAAAGCTTATGAGCACCATATAACCAAAAATGTTCAAATAACATAAAAGCATCAAATTCAAAACTCCTTAAGGAGGCCTAAAACATAACTATGAAAAACCTCCACCACTATTACATTTTTAGCATTTTTGTACAAACATGGTTAAAAATATTTGACAGTAAATATCACCCAATTAATATCTGACTTTTTTACCAACATATCAAGTGTGCATTTTTTAACATATTTAAGCACCATTTTGACATTTTTCATACCTTGTGGTATCCAGAAGTTAACATTTTCTTAAATTGAAAATGTATTTCCCATAATATTTACCTCCATTCACACTTCAGCTATTATTTGAATGCAAGGGATTCCTTCCTTTGCACATCTGAGCATTGGTCTGATTTTTTTTCTCACTTGCTCCGGTCTGACCACTTAATTGCCCTTGGCAATATCTGTCTCATGACACTTTCTGCCTATATCAATGTGCCTGGTACTATATATGAGCACCTCATTCAGATAGTATTATCACTTTTTCGAAACTGACCCAATGTGCAGTCTTCAACACCAGCTCTTACTGGGAAGGAAGGGTGGGAGAGGAGGTAAATATTATTGGAAATACATTTTCAATTTAAGAAAAGATTAACTTCCATAACATACTTACCTCTTCTCACACTACAGCTAGAATCACTGATAAAGTGGAGAAGCCAGTGAGGGCATTATTCATACAAAAGGCACCTGCATAAATCATGGGCACACCCTAATGGGGGAGCCTCACTACATCCAGAACAGGTATGTTCTTTACCCAGAATTTAATTCATGTACTATGGATGGAATTTTATATTATCTGTCATCACTAATGGACAGGCCCCAACCAGACAGCCAAGGTTCCACTACTCCAGGTAGGAATTATAGAGCCATACTCCCTATATACATTGGTGGCTAGGGAATTTGGACAACAATATATATACTTGTAAGTGGATCCCAACCTGTAGCTATAGAGTGATGCATTCTGAGCCACTGGAATCATAACGAGAAGGTAAACAACACCAAAGAGGACAAACCATCTCTTCACCTGAAGATGCCTGAAAGGCAAAATCCCAAACTCAGAATGATTTGATCCTGTATGCCATACACAACCTGAAGAAACAGAACTAATCCTGTATGGAATTATGAACACTCATACTCACTCCCCAACCATGTAGGCAAATTAAATTCCACTTGTCTGCATAATTATGAGGAAGAAGTAGAACAAACTGTGCTCAACCAAGGACTTGGGATGATACCAATCTGCATTTGAAATTACAAGGAGACAATGCACCCTCTTCCATGAACAATGTACTGAACCAATATTGATCAAAAATAAGGGTCACACTCATCCCAACCAGTTAGCTGATAATCAAATCTAAACCAGTATTATGAGTAGTCTCCCACATAGGTTGGTGCCAACATATGTGAAAAAAATAAACATCAAGGATCTTGGGTAGGAAAGCCCTCAACTTCTCCCTCTTCTCTAAGAGTGGAAGAAGTTCACTCTAACACTCTGGAGGAATAATCTCTGACCACCACCCCAGTGACTGGAAACCAGGTGTGGTAAGGACTCCTTAGCTCCACTAGTAGAACCTGGGGAGTGGAGGGGGGTTAATGAATGCTGGAGAGCCCTGAGGAACAGTTCTCTGGAAACAGTGTAAAAGTTGAACCGAGTTCTCTAAATTTGTAAAAGGAAACTGACCACGATTTACTCAATCCAATGATTGGCAGGGATGGGCAAGATCCTCTTATTCTTTACTCATGATAGTCCATGAGTGGCAGTCCAGCATAATATAATAATACCACCTAGTCAGCCCCTAGATGGTCTTATGGAACACCTCATTTTTACAGAGCCTGTTGCAACCTGTATAAAGTATATTGAATTAGTGATTGCTAGTACAGAAATAGTTTAATAAAAACACACCTGCCTGGGCAACACTCACCATAGAGTGGGATCCTGTGAAAAAGAGGTAAGGAACCCTGGAAAATAAACAAGAAACAATATTACTAATGAATATACACCTTATAGTCTAGTAGATGTGTTTAAGATAGCTAAAGGGGGTAGTTGAAAACCCAAAGAGGAAGATACTGCCAAATCAGGCAAATAATGTGAGATAAATGTATTGGAGGAGGTCCACATACCAACCCATGCAATGTCCTCCAGGGGGATATTCAACAGGGCCGCTAAGGACAGAAAAATGTAATGAATCTGATAAGACATGACTCACAGAAGTCTCCTCATCACCAAAGAGAGCCCAGAATAAGCAATATGGATCAATTTCCATATCCACCTCTACAAAGTAACTGGGGATAAATCCTGGGAAACTGAATGATCTCAATGAATAAAAAGTCATTGTCTAGCACCTCTTAAGGC